CAAATAAGTTGTCACATTCTATACCAGCTTCTAAATAAATAAAAAGCTCTACACAGTGCGCATTGAAGTAGTCTAATTGAGGTAGCAGGCAAGTAGTATGCTAGTAAAGCCTGCATGCAAAGGAAACTGCTATTACCTTGTTCCCAGCCAACATTGCTGTTGCTACTAGTTGATTCCCTGACAACCAGTGGAAATATAATCAGTGTGTGTTGGATTACAAATTGAGCAATGACTGGCTGAGTGCACTGGGAGTGACAGACATAATCAAGTCGCTTCCCTACCCCAGCCAACCAACATAACTTCCATCTTGTCTGACCGAGGGTCGTGTACCTCCTCGTCTTCCCTGGACAGTTAATTAAAATTATTCAACATCTCGTACTCCTTCAGCCCAGCTTGCGCTGGGTCTTGGAGTACCGACGAGGATGCCACCAATGTCTCCTTGAACCCCACATTCAAGCTAAGTGGCAACAGAATAGAACCCAGAATAGAAGGAAGAATAATTACCCAAAACAATCTTAAGACGATCCTGAAGATCCTATCCATTTTCCAGACTGGAGTAGTCTCTCAAGGGAAATGGGATGAGAATGGATGTTCTGTACCGTAAGTCTTTTACTGTGGCCCAAGCACCAGAAGGTACAAGGTAGAGACCATTTATGCAATGGCTTGGAGTTAGCTGTGATGTTTTCTATTCTCTGATTTCTGTCCTCCGTCTGGGGGCTGCCTTGTTGCAGCTACTGTATCTTGCCCCACCTGCTGCTGATCTTTTGCATTCCCCATTAGAGAATTCTGTCTTCTGCACTTGCAACAAGAGTAGCTGATTGCACACCAGAGTGCATAGTGCATAAGATGGCTCTTCTACCGTGGAGGATTACATGCACTCTGTATGCTACTAGCCATGTAGGACTGTCTCACAGGTTGTGTATAGATCCCAAACAATGGGTTCTCTCCCGTAGGTGAACGGCGTCAACATCAGCAATGTGACTCACTGCCAAGCGGTCTCTTTGCTGCGCCATCCAGGTTCAGTTCTCCACTTGGTGATCCTACAGGAGAAGGGGTTTTCCCCCAGGACTGTCCAGCAGGACTCCAGCCCTGCTGTAAACCGGGAAGTGATTCATGTTACCCTGATGAAGAGAGACCGATCAGAGCCCCTGGGAATCAAACTGATTAGGAAGACAGATGAGCCGGGGATTTTTATTCTAGATTTGCTGGATGGAGGCTTGGCAGCCAAAAACGGGAAGCTGAGCCAGAACGACAGAGTCCTTTCTATAAACGGCCAGGACCTGAGGCAAGGAACACCCGAGACTGCTGCACAGATAATCCAGGTAATTTACAGCGTGGAGGAGTGGTTGGTCTCATAACTCTGTGACTATCTGCACCACCAGTACAACACTTTGTTTCTGACCCAGGGGCTAATGAAAAATGCTTGAGCAACCTGGATACTCTTAAGTAACTATTTTTGGGAGAGTGGCTTCCCTGCAGATGTAGGGATTACCATGTTCTAACATTGATAAAAACGCAGGGTGGGAACCTACCCTGAGTCAGCTCTGACAGAGTTGTGATGAGTCAGTTGTCTATGGTGGTTTAGTGCACCTATGGTGACCTGGTCTCTTTGTAAAGGGTTATGCATAGCCTTTCTGCACATAGACTGTCTAGACACAGTGCATATGAATGTGATGGAGAAGGGCCAGGGTTGTGAAATGAAGCCTCTGTCGCTGCTTGATATGTGATGGAGAGAACGATCTGCAAAGAGAGGTCTCCGAGGCTCACAGCACAGAACAGAAGCAATATGAACTGATGTTTATATTTGTGAAGCTGGTTGTAAAATTTCCCGAGCAAACTGTATTTCAGAAGGGGGCAAAAAAGATGTACTGAGATGCAGGACTAACTGCAAGGCCTGAGATCATGCTGTTAAAGTCAGCAAGTGTCAAAGCACTGGTTCTAAGACCATTACATATAGATCACAAATCCAGTAGGTTTGTTAAACTCATGACAAGAGTTTAAACTGTGACTCCTCGGTGCAGATTTAAATCTCAGGTATGGGACTTTATCTAGCTCCCACTAAAAGCAGTGAGAAGAGTCCCTAAATGACTTCAGTGGGCTAACTGGATCCAAATCAGGATTGACCTTAAAGGGATATCCTATAGATATTTTTAGATGGCTCAGCTTTTCTGGGATCTAATTTAATTTTCAGTTAACACTCGCTGCACTTCATATGGCACATTCTTTGGGGAAAGGATTCCTTCTTTAAGGTACTATGTACAGCCATGTTGCATGTATAAATAACTTGGCTTCTTGAGGATGAAGGCGTGAGAATCCCCATGCAATATTGCAGCTTGTGAAGAAGACCATTTTTAGAATGTAACTAATGCATTTTACAGCTGTGCCTTCTGAAGCAACTCTGGAAGTATGGTTGTTCAAGATTTCTCTGGGATGTCAGGACTCTCTTATTCAAGCAGAAATTCCAAACTGTTAGTCCTTACAGGAGGTCATAAGATTTGCTTCCGTTACAGCAACATCAAGAATATGCTCTGGCACCAGAACTACTAAGTAGGACCACACATTAAACAAGAGTAGTAACTGGAATTCTTTTACCTAGTCTCAGCTGTTGCAGCAGATAGGTGGGTGTTCGAAGAAAAACCACAAAGAACACCTGTGGCTCACAACCTCTTAAGTGTTGAGGTACCCCTCATTAGACTTGGGTATTGCTAGCTCCTTGGTTTTCACTCGTTTGTTTTTGGAATATGGAGAAATAATAGAGCATTTTTTCTGTTGCAAAGAACCCAGGAAGATCACAACAGGACAGAATGTTTTTAACACTATGGATTCCTAGTTGAAATCTCTGGGTTTATCATGTGAATCATGTACATGTAACAGTGCTAACATTGTGTGGCACCCTTGAAAGGATTTCAAGGACCCCGCTTGAGAATCACTGGCTTAAAGGGTAAGACTTCAGTTCCTCTTGAGATTGGAGGGCGAACTTATAAGTGATACTCATGTCACTTGAGTATCTTGAATTTATATGTGATACTGGAGCCTGGGAAGTATGTAGAAAGTCAAGTCTGGTCAGGAGAGTCATCCCCATCACCGACACCTGACTTTCAGTTACCTTCTGTTGTGGGTTTGCTTGGGCCTGGAAGAGGGTGTACACTTGTTACATGCATGTTTCAGTGGCACAAAGTCTCAGTCATAATTCTGTCACAGCAGTCACTAGAAGTTACTAGCTTCCACCTCTCCATGGCCCACCGTAACGGGGGCCTTCTTGGGGCTGATTTGCCTTTGGCGCGCCCACCCGTTTCTGGGCCAACCACCCGCCTTGCCTTGATGATAATTAAATTAAGATGTTAATTAGGTGAGAGGCCGCCCATCTTTTGCCTCAATGCCAGGGGACACTATCTGCGGCTCCATTCCTCCCCTACACCGCAGCCCAAGCAGATGGCATCCACTAGTTGTTAATCTCACTGGCCCCACTCTGGGCCCCAGAATCCTCCAGCACGGACCCCACCTGGATCCCTCCACTCAGGCAGCCTACTCCGCCTTCGTTCGGGCTGCCTAGCTCCCCGAGCTGTTCCCCCTTGCAGGTGTGGTCCCTCTCTCTCCGGGGTCCACCTTCCAGACCCTACTAGCAGGTAACCCACCCGATTGTGGAAGCTGGGGTTATTAAGGTGCCCCAACCTGCCTTTTAGCAAGGTAGTAACTGGCCTGGCATTTCCTGGGGGCTCCTGCACCACTGAGAGCCCCACTAGGCCACCCGCTCCTGGCAAGGTGCAATTTTAGGTCCTGCCCAGGACCAGGTGCCTCTTGACCATCCCCTACAACTCCTGCTCTTACTTCCAAGGATGTACCAAGCAGCCCTGCAGCCAGGCAATGTCTCTGCCTGGCCTGCCAGCACTGAACTGCTCTGTTTATATAGGTGGCCAGAGATCTACAATGGCTGCGGCAATCAAGCACCTGCCAGCTGGCTGGCTGAGTCCTTAAAGTGGCAGGCACCAGCAGTGCCCTGCCACACCCATAGAGAGACTTGATTCTCCAGGGACACTGCAAAAGTTTCAAACTTATCCCTTTTGCTTTTCTGGCAGGCCAGTGAGACAAGAGTGAACTTTGTGGTCCTCCGGCAATCTGGCACACAGCTGGTAGATACTGTTGATGATGGCAGCACACCCAGCAGCAGCAGCAGCAGCAATGGAGAGAGCCCAGTGCACCATCGGAGGAGGCCTGAGCAAACTTACTACCGCCGCAAACCTAGCTACCAGAAGGTAAGTGCTGCTGTAATTAGTGTTTTCTGTAGGTCCAATGGCTTGTTTCTTAGGTCTATTCATTTTCCATGAGCACACTGGGAATATAAAGCTTACTACAGCTGTATGAGGAGCAGAGTTTGGTTCCAGGGCACTTTTCCTTCTTCAGGTGTTGCAAACAGTAGGTGCTGGTGACTGGCAGTGCAGTGAGTTGTGTACAAGCGCATGGAATATCCAGTACCTAGCGAGTACTGCAGTAACCCTCATGTGGACATTGAGATGGAAGCCTATTTTAAGGGAAGAAAAATTGTTGGCCAAGACTGCAAGGTCATCTCAGTTTTTGGAAGGGACCTCTGGATATTTAACAGCACCAAAGCCAGTACAATTATCACTCAGTGCACTGCTCTCCCCTCGAACTATACAGTGAAATGGAGAAACAACCACCACCATTTGAGATTAGGTAGCCTTGTGGCCTGCAGTGAAAGCTCAACCACCAAAGCTGAAGCATGATGCTTTTGCAGCTTTACTCCACCAACGTAATTTGCTTTTTATAGTGCTGTCAATTATTCACCATTAATGTGCACAGTTAACACAAGAACCAATTAACACGTTAATCATGCATGTGGTTTTGGAGCCTGCATCCAGGCTGCCCTGCCCTGCTGCTGTCACTGCTGCCTCTGGGCCACCCCATGGAGCAGCGGTGGCAGTAAGAGCCATAAGGCAGCCTGGATGTGGGCTCTGGGCAGCTGCAGCAGGAAGGTGGGGAGGGGGGCACACCCATCCACATACCCACAACCGCCATCCAGGGCCCCGAGCAGTCAGGCTGGCAACACTGGGGGTTCGGGGAAGGTGGCACTGGGCTGCAGCGGGGTTGCCTGGCATCCTTGAGACCAGGGTGGGCTGGGACCACCTGGCACCTGCTGAGCAAGTAAACAGAGAAGTTCAGGCTCAGGCTGGGGCAGGGCTGGAGCAGCTGCCCACAGCCCAGTCTGCAGCCACCACTGCTGGGGTTAGGGCAGGGTGAGGCCACCACTGGGGTTGGGGGCAAGCTCCGGGCTTGGGGCAGCTCCACAGAAACCCCACTCAGATTGGGCATCCTGCAAGGGTGTGTGGGGGTCTCTCTTCCCCAGGCTCTAGACCCCCCTGTGGGCAACCCCCCTCCTCAGGCTCTAAACCCCCCCGACCCCCAACCATACAAAGTACCTGCATCGTTTTGAGTTTTTCTACATATAATTTTGAGTTTTTAGCTGTGCGATTAAAATCGCGATTAATTGTGACTTTTTTTTTTTTTAATTGCAATCACATTTTTTAATTGTTTGACAGCCTAGTTTTTTACCTTCCTGTTCCCTATTTTAGAAAACTTAGAGCTTGAACAGGGTGGCTGTTTTGTTGCTGCCTCTGACAGTTTGTTCGTTATTTAAAACTACCATCTGTATAAAGATGTTTTTCCTGAAACACTGCCCAGCCTGTTGTGTTAAGTTTCTGAGTTTACGGGATCTGAATTGGTGGCTACCAGAAGAAATTTGAGTCTAGTAGTTCTTTGCTGTATAAATTGTATTCTAGTATCTTCCTTCCATTTCCCCAATGCACACATGCACGCACTCAAAACCCTTGCTTACTCTAAGATCCATAAAGCAAGCGCTGTGCTTTTTAGCAAGTGTTGGAGGAAGGATTTTCCAAATAACTTGCCAATGGCCTAATCAAAGTCAGTGGGAGTTTTGCAGCTGACTTCACAGTTGAAGGAAAGCAGATTTAGGGCAATGCTAAGCTGTTTTGAAAAATCCCTTCCTTTAGCTGTCATTTAAAACAGTTAAGTCAGTAGAAACTGTCCTTTTATCCCATGCAGCAATGCCAAATATAAAAAATAAGCCTTCACCCTTCTTTCCATGATGTGCCTTATGGTATATTGAGTCTGGCAAAACAGAAGGCTCGCAGATCTGAGCTCTGACTGAATAAATTCTAAAGTGCACATGAGACGCACAAGCAGTAAGTGTTTAGGATTGGTAATGAGATCTGGGAGTTCAACTTCACTTGGTGTGTCACTAGTTGAAATCCATCCCAATTAAAGACATGATCAAAAGCTGGTAGCACTTTATATGTTCGATAGACTTTGTGACGGATGTTAGTTTCTTTCCACTTTGAGTCTCCATTTTCTCCCAGTAGCGAGCTTCTAGTAGGAATAAAGGGTTGAATGGATATGGAGACAATTCCTCAGACTTATGGCTGAATCCTCTTGGCAACTGTATGATAGCCTTTGCCTGTTCTGTGCAGAGAGCTTTGCTCTCCAATCATGTTGGGGCTTTCTCCAGCATTGAATTTATAGGCTGTTCTAACCCTGCTCCAAAGTTGGGGTGTCTGTAGGGTCTGTGCATTGATGAAACCATGTGTACATTTTCCTCACTTTGTAGGAGCTACCTCAGGGATATGCTAGCCAGGAAAAGACTGTTACCATAAAAAAGGAACCAAAGGAATCTTTGGGAATAACTATTGGAGGTGGAAGGGATAATAAGAACAAACTGCCTGTTTATGTGACAAGTGTGCAGCCCATTGGATGCCTCTTCAGGGATGGCAGGATCAAGAGAGGTAAGGTAGCTTTCCACAGCCTCCGTACCCTGCTCTTTACCTTCACTCAGTGAATGAGATTTAGAGTCTAAGTGTAAGTTGGCAGCAGGTCCTGCGTGAGGACCTGGGGCAGATGTGCATTTACTAACCATCATGGAAGGTTAGTAAATTCACTTGGCTAACTCCCTCTAATCTATTCATGTCATCAACAGGAGATGTGCTCTTGAGTATAAATGGCATTGATTTGACTCATATGAACTACTATGAAGCTGTGCCAGCACTTAAATCCAATGCTGCTTCCCATGTACTGGTACTGAAAGCCCTGGAGATCCTTGTACCAGAACCCACAGACTCATCCTCTGAGATAAGGGAACAAGGATTCAGCTGGTCTCCCCTTTGGACCATGTGGCTTGGACTACCTAGGTATGTTTGTTTGGTTTGTCTCTCTTTTGCCCGAACTGACACTTCGGTAAAGTGAATCATCAGTTAACTCTGAACAAAGTCAAACTTGCCAACAGCCCTCTTAACAGAAAGCAAGAGGAATCCTTACTTGTCTGTGTGGTCTTTGTAAAACAAATTAACTTAAGAAACTCCCCCGCCCTTTGGTATTTCTGACCCCCATCGTTCGGGAATATTGCCAGAGTTCACTGAATGCTTTCTCCAACTGCATCTGCTGCAGGAGATGGGGACAAAAGCAAGCACATGTTTTGTACAGGGGTTATTTTGTTGCACTGGATGTTTTGATGGCAGCGTGCACACTGCAAACAATTCACCCTGAAACATCATGAAGCCGAGGCACTCTGGTTGCTCTGAGCTGTGTGATGGAGATCAGTGCTCTGACACTGCTAGTTTGTCATTTTGTGCAGAGACAAGCCTTCCTCTGGGGTTCTGTCTCTTGTTAGTCTCAGCTATATAATTTGTAATATTAGGACAAATGATGCTAATAATTAGTTTCCCTGCCAAAGAGCACTGGGATAGAGACTTGCCATGTGCTGGTGCCAAAGGCAGTGGGAACTATGCTGCTGAGGTCCAGGTGGCAGATTTGAGAGGGGACCCTTTAAGGGTTGAACTTTCATCTCCTTTCCAGAGAGACGCAGGTGGTGCTCCACTAGCTTGGTGATTTGTTCAAAGGTCAAACCAGAATAAGTTCACCCAGAGGGGCAGTGTGGGCTGTGGCAGGGCTAAAATCCAAGCTGCTGAAAAGGGAGCTTGCAGGAGGCACAGGCTGAAAAAAAAGAAACAAAGAAAGAGAGCCTCTAGCCAGAGGTTTCAGGTGATTTATAGGCTTGTATCCTGGTGCAACCAACCAAACAAAGCCTCTGACTACCTTCCCTTCCTCCAGTTTAGCAACCTGTAAACACCAAGCTAACAAGCCCAACAAGAGCAGCTCGCTGAAGGCAGCGTGCTCAGCAAAGCCCTACTAATATCTTTTCACCCCTTCCCTAAAACCAACCCAGTTCTTTAAAGTTCTGAGACTAAGTAGCCTCTGCTGCACCAAATCAACTCATGCTCATACAGGCGGCTGGGCTTTGACTCCCAAATCCTAACAGTTTCTTCAGAGGAGCCATACTGGGCACAGCACTACGGGGAAACAACTGTTTGCATGCCCAGTCTTGCACACAGGGGAGGATGAAGGTGAAGGATACAGTTGCAGAAGATTTCCCAGCTACGGAGGCTCTTGCTTTTTCCTGAGTTCTGTCTCCATGATGTTGGGTTTCTTGCTTTCCAGTCATCTTCCTTAGTTTCAAGTTTGGGCCTTAAGCCAACATTGTTCACATCATTCCCTTGCTGGACATATCTTTGGGCTTGTGGTTTCACTCACACCCTCGTGTAACAAGAGACTAAGAGTTGTGTTCAAAAGTTAAGGCTCCAATTTATGCAGCCTGAAAGTTGATTATAAAAAGATCCTCATTTTAAAATCGTAGAAAAATAGGGCCAGAAGTGACCTCTGGAGGTCTAGTTCAAGCCCCTGCCTGAGGCGGGTTCTGGTATAGACTGTGGGGGCTAAATGCTTTTCTGTTCAAATCATCCCATACAAATACCTGCCTAACCTATTACTAAAAACCACACACATCACCCTTGTCACACAAGTACAAGGCATAGCACTGTAACCTGCCACAGGTAAAACAGGGGGACAATGGTGGTCAGTGTCCTCCTGCTGCAAGAGTTGTTAAACTCTTCTTGAGAAATCCAAGTGGGCCACCCCCACCCACCACAGCCCATGTCAGTCTGACCATGGAGCATGGATTAAAATTCATTCTTGACCCCAAATGTGGCAATCAGTCATGCCTTGAGAGGAGGGGAAAGACCCCCTAGCTAAGAGCCTCTGGGTTTTAGTCCCAGCATGAGCATTGGCACACCCCAGTCAAAATCCCCAGTCTTGACTCCGGTCAACACCAGTGCATCTTAGGGAGGTGGAAAAAAAAAAAAAGGAAAAAACCCAAACAAACTCTGATAGATGCAGCAACAGAAAGGTAGCGGGGGGAGGTGGGGGGGAGTGTATCCTTCCTGGTCCCATGTAGCAACCAGCAAAGCCCAGAAGTACTGGGAAATGTTGAACACCCTCCATTCTGTTCTGCAACCTGGGGACAGTAAGCATAATTCCACCCATCACACCCTCTTAGTGGACAGCCAGAGCTCCCCTTTCTGTATCACCTCTATCAACCCTATCCCAGCTCAATGTCCTGCTCTCTGCAGTGAGAGAAGGGTTTTTTCCTTTATGACAGCTCTTTAGATGCTTAGAAAGCAGTTTTGGGGTCTCTGCCTCTTGCACGGTGTTCCAGATGATCACTTCCAGTCCTTCCCAGTGAAATAAGGAGTCATCTAAATTGTATCCTCTACTCTAGCCATTGCTTCTGTTCTTCTTTTATTGGCTTATTGTGCTTAGTGCTGTCCTCTACTGAGCACAAGTGTTTGTAATCTTAAACATATTGACCAGTATGTGCAGCATAAGTTTATTTTCCCCTGTTGGAGAATCATTGGACTGAGATGTCCCGATTATTCAGTGTAGCCCTCTTGCAATGTTCACCAACAGTTAAAATGTTTTTCAGTGGTTTGGTATCACGTGCTATTTCCCCCCCAGGTATACATGATCCAACAGATGGCTCCTGTGCTACTTAATCTCTCACATTTGTTGGAAGTAGGCCATGTGTGTGTGTGTGTAGCTACCCTGAGAGAGCAGTTGTTTGACGAAAAAGCAGAATCCAAAGAGGTTGTGCTCAAGGCTCTCTAGGGGCATTCTCTGTCCTTTTCAACACTTCTGTCCATGATGCTGAATTCCAGCTTTTGTATACTAAGCTCTTGTACTTTTGGTCTACTGCTTGTGTCATCTGGCATTTGTCAGCCTGGCTCACCTGGCAGCATACCGTCTACTGACCACTGGTTTGAAAGATTAAAAGTTGCTACGTTCCATCCTATTGGACTTAGGTGTTCACACTATGCTGATACGGTACTGCTTGAGAAGTGTCTTTCAGATGAGATATTAACCTCTCTCTCCTTCTGCCTAAGAAGGGAAGTTAAAATAGGGGATAGCCCAAATGTCATGGCTAGCCTACTCATCACAGTTAGAACAAGTTCTGGTTTTTAAAACAGGATATGAATTTTTGAGAACACAGGATTTAGCATAAATCATGGATCAGATCAGTGTTCCTGTTGAGGCTCTTAAGATCCTTAGCCAATGGATAGTTATGCTATAACATGGTGTTGTCCCCCTAATCTCAGGCACATAGTGTTTGGTTATTTGGAGTATGGCACTGGATGTCTCATGCACACAATCCTCCTAATATAGCTGTGGGTATTTTTGTTGTCCACTTAACTCCTCCTCTTTTTTTTTTTCTTTCTTTTTTTTTTGCTGCAGTATTACATTTTTCTTCTGGGGTGGTCACACAGTACCCACCTCCATGAAATCTGAGCTGTTTCAACATTCAGCTTCAGGAACTAAGAGAACCCCATCCCCGCCCCTGACCTGGACAGCACATCACACTTTTCTTCAAAGAAAATGTGAACACTCAAAAGTAACAAAGTTTCTGTCAAAATCATATATCTACCTGGCAGCCTTCATGGAAAATGTTCTAAGCTTTCCCCAGCATCCCCAAAAAATTGCACAGGCAAAACTGCTTGCTATAGAGAACTGATTGGCCTTTGGTATATACTAGAATTAGTAGATGTAATAACTTGCAGTCAGTGGGCACCTCTACACGTGCATTAATGCACTTTAATTAATGTGCATTAAATCTAGTACCTCCATTATGAGGGCAGTTTTACGCATGCTTCAGGGGTAGGGGGCAGGGTGCTTTAATTAGAGTGGCTTAGAGAGCCTCTCAAGTTAAAGTGCCGCAGAGTTTCATGTATTAGTGTCCCTGTGCTTCAAAATGGCAGCAAGGGTGCTTGAACTAAGCTCATTCAAAAAGCTTTAGTAAAAGCACCCCCACCACCATATTGAAGTGTGGGGATGCTGATGCACAAGATGCGCTATTTACTGCACTCCAGCAGACCCAGCGGGCATTTTTATACATGTAAGCACCGCAGCGCCAGGTGCTGCAACGCTTGCAGTTGTATAAGTGGCAAATTGTGTGTCAGCACTGAGAAAATGGAAATGGTGCGCTTTTGAACTAAAATACATCGGAGGTGCTTTGGTTGAAAAGCGCACCGCACCATTTTGTGTGTGCTTTTTTCACCACTCGTACAACTGCATGTGGCGCAGCAAGGTGTGCGTCAGTTTGCATGCAGCTCGCATGAAGTGACAGATCTTTGGCATGTCGTGGGACAAAAAGGTATGTGTATAAATGCCCAATTAATTGTTATTACAGTGCATTGGAGCAACCTTCCAACACGTCTACAGGCACCCTGAAGTACTAGAAAAATGTCCATTAACTAAAGAGCATGGTTTAAGTGATGCTTAATGCACATTAGCCTATTTTAATGTGCATTAACTAAAGTGTGCGTTTTTAGTGACTTTAATATACATTAAAATTAAGCTAATGCACATTAAAGAGCCCACTACCACATAAGAACTGTACCTTCCATATGAAGCTCTGGCTTAAATTGTGCCTAGCACATTCACTATCTTTGGCTATGGTGTAGCTGTATGTTGCCGTCTATTATCAGTTGTACTTCATTTTCAGCTCTTCTGTTGTAAATTATCTTGCTCACCCAAAACAGCACAACATAACTATGGAGGTACCAAAACCAGTTGGAGTACTTTTCTTAGAAAACTAGAGCTGGGTCTGGTTGCAGTGGTTACATGTTAGTGTGAATATTTACTTTATAAGCACAGCAGAAGCCAGGACAGGGTGAAACCTTAGGGCCCAACTCGATAAAAAATGCATAAGCTTTTGTAGATGCCAGTCTACTTCGTCAGGTGCTATGATACTGTCCTGCTTCCTGTCTGACTTCAGACTAGCACTGCTGACTATGAGCCTTGTTACACAGTAATTTTAGGCTCCTGGAGCTCTTAACCCATGGATTTGCTACACAAACACTTTTAAGTGGCTTAAAGCATTTGTTGTATGGCTCAAAGCTACACCACTCCAAGGTGATCTGCACAACCTTGCTCCTCTTCCATTATCGTGTGGCCACTCCCCACAGCTGCATCACCCAAGCTGAAGTCCTCCAGTATCCCAGGATGCAGTAGCCCCTCCCCCTGTGGTGTTTCTGTCCACAGCTGAAGATGGCAACAGTTTGAGGGAGAGGAGAGGTATGGAAAGCTGGAGCCAGGTCACCAGGATGCTGCTATGGGGTGGGCAGAGTGTGGCCCAGCACAAGTGGAAGGAAAACTGTGTAAGGTGGCACAGGATGCGGAGGGTGCTGCACAGGAGGATCTAGCACTGGCTCTGCCTGACTCGATGGGGTGCTGATGGCTCCGCTGCTGCATGGCCTTGGAGCACTGCACTACACCACCCCACTGGTTTCCTCCTGCAGCATCAAGCCATGGCTGGTGGGAACACTTAGCAGCTTGGTGGCATTGGTGGTGGGAAGAGGGGGAGGAGGAAGAAGGGAAGGTGCTGCCTCATGGCAAGCCAACAGCAAGCTGCCCGCACTAACGCTGGGCACCGGGAGAGGCAGGTGATGTGGACAATTACACATTTCACTCCCTCCCCACCTTCTTCAACTAGCAGGCTGAGCATTGCATTACAGTAACACACTCAAGATTTTTAAGCCTTCTAGATGTTGAGAGAGATCCCCCATGCTGTTTTGGATCTACTGTCTTAAACAATCTCTCTCTTTTTGTCACGGGATTATAACATTCCAAAAAGCACAGGGTCCAACGAGATGTTTTCCATGAACAAACCCTTTGAGCAAACCCTGATGGATTCAGTTGTTTTGATTGAAGGCTGGTTGCCTTACCTAATTCAACGTTTACTTTTCATCAGTGAGACCTGGTGCCTGAATGCAGCCATTGTACCAAGTACACAATACAAAAGCAGAAATGTGATTCCAGGTTAACCGCAGGGGCTGCAGCAATTGTGTTTACCATCCTTTCATTTTTTTTTTTTTTTTTTTTTTTTGAATGATTCTTTAAGGCAACCCATTGACAACCTTGACCCCTCTCCCCACCCCCCACACTTGGCTTCCTTCCCTTCACAACCTGTGGTATATTGCCCATTCCCCCACATACAGGTAATCTGGATAGATCTATTGCAATTATTTGTGGAAACTGAGAAAGCCACTCTATGCCTCTCTTTCCAGTAACCTCCACTGTTGTCAAGATATTATCCTGCGTAAGACTAATTCAGAAAGCTGGGGATTCAGCATTGTCGGAGGCTTTGAAGAAAGCAAAGGAAGCCAGCCGTTCTTCATTAAAACCATTGTGCCTGGAACGCCTGCTTTCCGAGACAGGAGACTGAAGTATGTATGGTTCTCTCTTTAATTACTGGTATCCAGTTCAGAGGCACTGAGCTTTGCAGCACATAGTGTTTTGATTTGATTTTTTTTGAGGTATCTTGCTTTTTATCTAATTCAAATGAGCCAGAACAAAATATAGGGACTTATCCAAGTACCTTTCACTCCCAGCTCTTAGTGCTCTGAAGCATAAAAATCAGACTTTTCAGTGCCTTGGCATGAGTAGATTTGACGCTTCATCTCTGCAAGGATGTAGCTACCACATGGGAGAGAACGAGTTAAGACACTCTGAGGAGTGTTAAAACTTATAATGAGGAATAACAGGATGGAGCAGGGTCATCCTGAACATCCTTCTCTCCCAAGAAGGTTCCCAGTGATGAGACCTCTGTGCCAGAGTACTTGCAAGAGGGGTGTAGCAGCTTTTGGCTTGTCTAGACGACAAAGTTAGTGCACCGAGTGGGAAATGGGCAGAGTGACCTATGACCATCTTTCCCTGTAAAGCTTCTTTGCAGAATCTTCCACTCCACTTACAATAATGCAGAGGTCAGTGTTGCCCTTTCAGCGTCCCTGCTAAGGATAGTGTAAGGATAGGGACCTGGCTCTGTTCCCTAGAAGACAAATTTCCAAACAGTTGTCAAGGAACTGATGCTGTGCCTTAGCTCATTCCTTCTCAGGCAAGCTAGGAGGAATTCATTTTCCTGAAAGATGCTTTTGCTGTAGGCTATTCTGTACTCTGCCTACTCCATAGCCCATAAGGGCCTTCACACACTTTGGAAACGTAGGGCTGGAAGGCATGGTGAAGTGATTATTTCCAAACCATCCCAGGCAGATGCATATCCAGCTTCTGCATACGGTGATATCCAGCCTCTTCAAGAAAAACCCCAACCTCCTAACAAGGAAGACTCTACAACCTCTCTAGGCAGTTTGTTCCATTACTCTCCAGTTAGGAAGTCTTTTTTTTCCTGAGGTTTAATCTGAATCTGCTTTGCTGTAGTCCAAACTGATTGTCTGGTGCCTCTGTGACAGGACTATTTTTCTTCCTGTTCTTTTTTTGGCAGCCTTTCAAATATTAGAGAACTGTCCCCTTACTCTGCTTTTGTCTAACCTAAGTGCACCCAACCCAGCTCCCGCAATCTTTCCTTATCTGCCTTGCATTCCTACTTTCCACTTCCATTGCTTGCCTCTGAATCCTCTCCTGTTTCTCTACATCCTTCTTAAAGTAGTGTCCCAAACAGGACAGAACAGGTGAGCCAAGACCCAGCCAGCACTGACTAGGGGAGTCCTAATCCCCTCCCATGTTTTGCCTGCAGCACTTCTGTTAATACCAAATTGCATTTGCTTTTCTGCCTGCAGCAGTCTGTTGCTGACTCGCATTGGGTTTCTCAGCAGTGCTGCTGCCAAGGCAGTTACTCCCCATGCTGTTAAACAGTTTGGGTGTGTCCCATCCTGGCAGCTGAGGCAGATTCAAACCCAAGTTGTGTTGAAACTAGCACTTCACCTCTGCTATTGCTAGAGAAACAGTTGCAGAAGGGACTTGACAGACTGAATCCATCACTGCCAATGCTCCAGTCTGTCTCCCCCTCAGCTGAATGGCTGCTTGCTTGAACTCTCAACTACGCCTTTCCTCACTTGCTTCCAGTATCCTGCATGTCCCTTCTCTTTTTCCCATGTCCCCTTTACCCCTGTATGTTTAGACAAGAAAAAAGTAGTTGTAGTAGTATGAGACTTGTAGACCAATCACATTGTTCATTCTGCTTGCATGTTATTTCCTTCCCTCAACCTTTTTCTGGTGTGAAAGGGACTACCGCTGCCTACAGTGCCTCACACTAAGAAAGAGACCCTTGTCTCACTTGAGGTTTGTAGGCACTGTAGAGCTACAAGTAATGAACTATACAAGTTGCATCCTGACAGCAGTGCCTTCTCTTTTCTGCCTAGGTGTGGAGATGAAATTGTGGCAGTAAATGGAGTACCTGCCATAGGAATGAGCAATTCAGAGCTGATCCCCATGCTGAAAGAACAAAGGAACAAAGTCATTCTTACTGTGGTGTCCTGGCCTGGAAGTCTTGTGTAAACACCAAAACAAAAATGTGTATTCACGAAATCTGTGAGCCCCTCTGATGCTAGTTTGCTTGATCTGACAGCCCATCATGTGACACTTACTAAGGAAACCACGAACTCCTGGCACGGTGTGCACTAGACTTTCACTTCCTCTTTGAAGAAAACATTTCCATACTGTTCAGAAAGTTAATGCAACTTGTGGATGCATCTGATTTTTTATTTTTATTTTTTAGGTACAATATGCTAGCAGCTTGGAGCTGTATCTTCACTAGCTTCTTGTACTGATTAGAACTCATCATAATTGTAGGGACAGTTATTTTTCCCACGATCCAAGAGGAATTGTCCATCTGCGTCTTGAGCTATAGTTGTCAACTTTTTTCAGGTGATGTTTTAATTCCTGGTCAAACTAGTGTCCATAAGAAAAATCAAGTAACCTAGCAAGCTAACATTTGCTGGCTGGCTGGCATTCTTGGACACTTTATTCAAGTCATTGTCTTTGTTTTTAAAAGTTGCTAATAAAAATAAGGACATGGACCAATGAAACGCTTCATAGCTAATGGTGTTCACATTTCTAGCACATGAGTTCAGTAAGATATAACCCTTCTGGTGCTAGGTAAATTGAATTACTGAGCCACCCTAACACACTGTGTTGACTTGTGTGAAAATCCCCATCCTAGTGTCAGTTGAAGGGATTCAAATTCAAGAACTCCTGCAACTCCTCTCTCCTTGATAGTGACTAATGAACCCACCAGGATTGGTCATGTAGATACATGGCTGTCTACATAAAATGGACTGGTTTGCTCCCAAGAAACATCTGCCCTGAGGAGGTAATTGTGTTCCTTGACCTTAGTTTCCCAGTAGGCTGAAGGAGATGGTTAGCTGCCTCTCCTATTCAACTCATTTTCCCTGAGTCAAGTAGAGCATGCTCACACTTTGTACCAGCATCTCCAGCTACACTTTTACCCAGTGAATGCTGAAAAACCTACTTCCAAAATGACAGAGGAGCTGGTTTGGGCAGATTAATGCACTATAAAGCAGAATTATAAAACATAAGGTAGAAAGCCAAGGCTTTATTCTGGCTATGACACATTAATAATAGACTATTTGAAACATTCAGGATATATAGGAATTTCTCATTTTTCTATGGAAGCTTAATCATTAGTAGAAATGACTGAGGGTCTCTTACATCAGGCTCAATTTAAAACAAGATATGTTATGATTTCTCTAGCTGTCAGGAGTGGCTTGGGCTCTAGCAGAAAGCAGAACAACTCAATTTCCTTGTCCAATTATTTAAGTGCAGCGGACTAGAGGGGTCCATTCTGTAAAGCAAGAGCAGTGCGGGATGAACTTTTCAGTTTGCTATTAGCAAGGAACAGAACTCTGTTCTGCTGTAAATTGTGAATGATTTACACACAATGTGACTTTGCTGTCTTATGGCTGTTAGCTAAAAGCTGTATGTAAGGACTCTTATCAAAGCCGTTTCAAAACAATTAGTTTAGGTTCTAGTGCTCATGAAACATTGTTTAGCTCAGCAGTTCTCAGCCTCTTTAGACTTAAGGTTCCCCCATTACTTTTGCAAATTGAGCAGCCACCCCGTTTCAAAAACTAAATTATAGCACTTACCTCCTTGCAGAGGGGCTGGGCCAGTGGAGGCAGGGGAATGGCTAGGCAAAGAGAGCCGGAGCCTGCCATTGTCTGCTTCTCTCTTCACACTTTCTGTAGCACCTTTCAAAGGATCTCATAGCCCACCCCAGGTGCCTTGGCACCCTGGTTGAGAATCACTGGTTTAGCCAATATCCATTCCTATGGATTTGGACTACAGAAGTTTTCTTAGACTAGCTGGACCTTTAGACACTGATTCCTGACATTCTTCAGCAATTGCAAGATTAAAATAATTCAGAAGTCAGCCAGGTGTTTGTGGTAAAACAAATCAATCAGCCTCCCTCTGAAGTGAAGAAAATGCAGAACTTAATTTTTGTCTCTTCCGTACAAAAGTTACTTAAAGCAAGTTCTGCAGGGAACACTAGATAGTCCAAAGATCTATTGGCTGGGTACTTAAAAGGTGGGCATTTATTGCTGAAAATAGTCTCCTGTTGTTGCAACATTTTTTTGCCTTGTAAGCAGCAATGCAGAGGGCAGTTGGATGTATTTTTAAATGAAGGGGATGCTGCAAAAAGGCAGCATGGTTTTACTATTGCTCCATCTCATTTCAAGGTGCCTTTAGCATCACCAAAAAATCTAAGTAACTACATATTGTTTGCATCACAAGGATTTGCTGAATCTTGTTTAAGTGTTGAATTGTTTGGATGCCTTTATAAATTATTTTAATATGACTAGCAGAGACAGCTGGCCTGTGTGTGTTCTGTTCATCAGTCCAAAATATTCCACCATTGCCAGACCCAGACAGGAATGTCCTATACTACCAGCAAGAGGAAAACCTGGTTTCTCTCCTGTAAGGAGTTGAACTAGCTGAAGACGGGTTGAACCTGCTGCTTTATTTACTTCAGCCTTTTGTAATGATTAGTGCAATGCAGCTGTCTTAGAAACACTCCCTAATCAGCACCTTTAGCCATTCACTGCTGTGGTATCCTCCTCTAAGGATATCAAAGCATCTCATATAGGTCAGCTCCACCAGCCTTAGGTTATAGGTCCCATGCTGCAAACAGGGAAATGCGAGTCACAAGGGACCTGTCCCACAGGGGCTATCAACCTCTGGCCTATGGGCCAGATATGGCCTGCAAAATCATAAAATCTAGCCGGTGGCCTGTAGAGTCACATAATCCTTCCACAGATTTGGAAGTTTGGCAGTGGCTATTTCCACTGTTACTGTTCACCTGCTGCCAAATTATGGTGATTGGATTAGCCCTGGCTGGACTGCCCCAATACTTAGGGATTGGGCCCTGTTCCCATGCAACTGGTTTGAGCCAGGTTCTGATGCAGCTGCATGACATCAGGCCCCAGCCAGGTTATTCATGTACAGCTGCACTGAGCCCTAGCTGGTCCAGCACTGCACACCAGATGTGACCCCTGGACCAGATCCAGCCCATGGATTGATCTGGCACTGCTCATTTAGCCTGAAAAGGTTGGGCACCATTGCTGTAAGCCTTTCCTAGCTCTTTGCATACCCAGAATCAAACTTCTGCATTTTACTATGACTAGTATCCTATTCTCACAGATAAACTGAGTGGCTGTGATGCAGATGATTACACTGTCAGGTGGGTGGCAAATTGACTTAGGGGGTCGCACCCAGAGAGTGGTGGTGGATGGGTTGGTATTGACTTGGAAAGATCTGGGCAGTGGAGTCCCACAAGGCTTGGTCCTTGGACCTGTGCTGTTCAAGGTCTTCATCAGTGACTTTGATGAGGGCGTGGGAAGCACTCTGTCCAGATTTGCAGATGATATTAAATTATGGGGTAAAGTTAACACACTAGAGGGTAGGGAAGGAATCCAAGTGGACCTGGACAGGTAGGAAAAGTGAGCAGAACAGAATAGGATGCAGTTCAACAAGGACAAGTACAAGGTGCTACACCTAGGGAGAGGGAATCACCAGCATGCGTACAGGCTGGGGGCTGACCTTCTCAGCACCACAAAGGGATCTCATTGTTGACACCAAGACTGACAACTCATGTTCAATTGACAAAGCAATCAGTAAAGCTAACTGCACTTTATCATGCAATAGCAGGTGCATGACGCACAGGTTCAGGGAGGTGATATTTCCTATCTACACAGCATTGGTCAGGCCACAGTTGGAGTACTGCATTCAGTTTTGGGTGTCGCACTTCAAGAGGGATGTGGACAACCTTAAGAGGGTCCAGAGGAGGGACACTTGTATGGTTAGGGACCTGCAGGAAAGGCCCTACGAGGAGAGATGGAGGGCCCTGGCTCTCTTCAGCCTCCACAAGAGAAGGCTAAGAGGTGATTTTGTGGCTGCCTACAAATTCATCAGGGGGAAGAGCAAGGAATAGGAGATACTCTGTTTACCAGGGCACCCCTTTGAGTAACTAGGAACAACAGTCACAAACTGATGGACAGCAGATTTAGGTTAGACATTAGGAAGAATCTCTTTATGGTAAGGGTTGCCAGAATCTGGAATGGGCTTCCAAGGGAGGTGGTGCTCTCCCCTAACTTGGGGGTCTTCAAGAGGAGGTTAGACATGCACCTGGCTGAGGTTGTCTGACCCCAGTGCTCTTTCCTGCTCAGGGCAGGGGGTTGGACTCAATTTCATCTGCTAAGGTCCCTTCCAACCCAACCATCTATAAATCTATAAGAATTTGTATAAGTATCCAATTTGTATAAGTGTTAAACTCATCCTTTTGTTTATGGTATGTACTTAGCCCTGTATGTGCTATACCCCTAGTTGTATATAGTGGACCCAACAATTGCCTTCTACCAGTTTCACAATGGGATTGTCCTTGGCACCGGGACTGCATCCAGCTAAAGCTGGTCAAAGCGCTGAAAAATTCTAGAAAATGTTTGCAAAAACAGGTGCAAACTGCTTCTGAACAAATAGCTCACTTGTAGCAAAAACATTTCTCCAGTAAAGTATCCTCTAGCTATAAGCCATTTTCCTTCCCCATTGCCAAGTTATTACAGATAAGACAAATCTAAGCCTCTGCCTCTCATTGCCAACCAATACTGTAGATCCACTAATAGTAACAGCTAGAAGCAGGCAGGAAAGATCAACAGATACAGGAGTGTGAAGACTGGTGCTGTAACAAGATTTCATATCTTTCCCTGTATACTAAGTAACCACGATGAAGCAGGGGTGTGGAGAAGGAATTCAGGACGTGCACAGACATGACCTGCACCTGCAGGAAGGCGAGGGGAAAGTGGGCCAGACCCCTGTAAAAATCACACAGCAGCCCATTCATCCCCAAAGAGTCACTGCACAGTCTGAATGCAGGGACAGGAGGGTGTGATGACAGCTAAAGGAAGATTCTGAAACCAGGGTAAGATTCCAGCCTTATTACCACTGGTGAATGCAAGGATGAGGCCTGGGATCTTGAGCCATGGGGTAGCACTCACCTGTCCTGTCTGTCAGATACAGTATTATGACAAACAATCAAACAGAGCTGTAAAATATCAAAGTTGTTGAGGGAGCAAGCAACTTGGAATTCCCCCCCGCTGAGATTTGAGAACTGAAGGGTATACACAATCAGGTCTGCAGCACTGGTTGCTAAGACATGGTTTTCAGGTATTCCCAGATAATACAAACTTCAATGCATGCAAGACATTTTGAATCCTTCTTTGATCCTTCTAAACTTGCCCTCCATCCCCACTTTTTTTTTTTTTAATTCCATGTTCCAAAAGCAAATTCCTCTTGGGCTCACAAACAGCTGCCAAACGAACATGGCTGGAAAATGAAACGCTTATTTTAGTCAGGAATAATGCTACTGAAAAAGTCTTTCCCTTTCTTCCCCTCCGTCCCTTCCCAGCCATGTCCTGGCCTGCCTTGGCAGAGGAGCCAACTGCAATAATATTTATGGCCCTATTACCTTAACTGAACAGATGCCAAATCTTTGCAGGCATCATCAGAACAGTTG